TAGACGAAGCTGTGGATTGTGAGCCACAACCTGTAAGTGTTTTATTTGTTTAGACTGATCTATTACTTGCCCAGTATCTAGCGTTAACAGTATGTTATAGAGAGAACGTAAATAACGGGAAATGCTGTTTGGCACTGTTAGCTATTTTGCTACAAATTCATATTTATTAGTCAAACTGCTGTAAACAGCCACAATCCTCAGCAGCGCTGCAGTGTCTCTCTATGCGGCCGCTTTCCCTGCGTTCTACATCTCAAATAGCGAACTAGCAAAAGATTTGTGAACGTTTCATATCACTTACACATGCTTATTCCGGATATATGTGAAAGACACTTGTCAGATTTTATTTCGAGAGCAGGCGTGAGGTTCAGCTGTGTCCTCCTCATTTTCTGTCTGATTCAGGCTTAAACTGATGCGGTAAACGGCTACTCTGACTGACTGCTTACACAGCGCAAAAGTGAATGCTTGTAGGGGCGTGACGCTTTTCCTTGTGACGTGGGCTGATCCACAAATCACAGAACATTATGTTAGCTGACCAATCAGAGCCTATTTAAGGCAGCCTTTCGGAGGAACTAGGAAATATGACAGTCGGTTTCATGTTAGCTGAGTAGCTGTATATAATCAAAGTAAGATAAATGAAAACATAATGTGATATTTCACAACTGAAGCACGACCACACATTGCTTTGCATCTTAAAAACACGACCAAGCCTTAAAAACACACTCTGGACCACCCCTTTAAAGGTCATGTACCCACATGAGAAGAGGAGCCTTCTCCTGGATCCACTTGGGGAAACAGACAGAAAAATGAAGACATGTTTGAAATCAAGAAGGTAAAATTTTTTTTTTTTAATCTTATTGTATTTTGTTGTTTAATGATGTGCTACATACTGCACACTTGCTATTGATCACAGATCATTCATGAAGAAGAAAGACTGCAACGTTTTAATGTGGACACGCAGCACTCTCCCTCATAGATGCCAGAAAGATGGAACGTCTTGTGGTGTCCTGGGGCCTCATGTATCAACGCTGCGTACGCACAAAAACTTTGCGTACGCCAAGTTTCACGCTCAGAATCGCTCACGTTTGGATTTACTAACAATGAACTGAACGTGGGAATGTGCGCAGGTTCACGGCAGCTTTCTGGCAGGCGTACGCACATTTTTTGTGCGTGTCTGTTTTATTTCCATTGGCGACTCCTAGAGGCAGTTGTGTTAAATTGCACTCTACAAAGTGACTGAGCCTTGCAATGGCAGCTGTATGAGACGGGTTCATCTAGTAGGTATGTAAGATTTCCATACCATACAGTTGAGCAGCTAAACATTAAAGCACAATTTGCAGCGGTCGCCTGTTTTCCCAATGTAATCTGAGCGATCTACTGCACGCACATTGCTATAAAGGCACCATCTGAAGATGAATTTGCATGCGTGAATCAGAAACATTTCCATTCAATAAATGTGCAAATAAAATATGATGCACAAACTTATTGATAATTCCTACTTGTCTTTCTCGTGATAAATAGTAGGCAAAATCTGATATGTAGCGGGGGAAAAAACAAGAAATAGTTCATCAGACGCTGGATTCGAGCCGAGTTCATGCTCGAACGTGGCAAGACATGATGACATACGTCTTAGGAGCGCGCCACTGAGACTGTTGCGAGTGCTGCAACATTTTACAGATATAAATCACACTATTTCTTTTTTTTAATGCACTCAGTGCGCTGTTCAGACCCAACTGTGTTAACCGCATCAGCTAAACTCTCCCACTCTATTTTTTTTTCTTTTGTTGTTAATTTTGGAGAACAAACTTGCAAATAACACCGCTTTTCTCCTGTCTACCTCCGAAAGGAGCACCACCAATTCACATTCTGTTCAAAGTTTCTCTTCTTGCTTGCTTTTGCCTTTGCTTTTTCGTTGGGTTTTGCCATTGGCATAGTCATTAGCATATTCATACGGGGGAGGAGGCAGGGAGGGGTTTTGTGCTCGTGCATGTTGCGCTCAGTTTCACGTTCATTCGGATGTACAAAAGAATATGCGTGAGATTCGGCGTACGCAGTGTTTCATACATCTGAATTTTTTTCTGCGTACGCACATTTACAGCTTTGTGCGTACGCAATGTTTTAGTAAGATTTCCACGCAAGTCTTCGTACATGAGGCCCCTGGTCTGAAAAGAGTGTAAAATATAATTATTATCAATAAGTAAAGAATAAGGCCTGGTTTTATGAAGAAGAGGGTTAATTCCACATGGATGGTTTTATTAAATGTACTAATCCAACAGAATTAACATTGTATATCTGAAGAATTCAAATTGACTGTCTTTTTTGTAACCATGCATTCCTTATACATTACAACTAATCATCTTTTTTTTGTTCAGTTTGCAGAGACAATTTTACAAGGGGAGGCAATAGATCTCAGGATGCAGTGTAATCATCATCAAACTGTGTCTCTACTGTAGACAAGGTGGACATGTAATACTGGCCATTCGTATTCCTAAACCTGCAGTGAGTGTGTTTACTGATTTACCATCCATGTACATCCATAAATCACAATTGTAGAACTCACTACTCTTCTAAACTGTTAAAGTGTATGCTCTCCTCGACTCTGGGTCAGCCGGCAGTTTTTTCTCTGCAGGTTAATGTCACAGACTCCAGCTCAAGAAAATTAATTCAACAACACCCTCTATCAGACTATCAGATCCAGTCCATAACTGGAAGTCCAATTGGCTGAGGACATGTTCAACTGCATGGGTCCCGTTCAGTTTCAGATTGGACAGCTACACATAGAAATAGTTTCTATCTGGAGGATTCCACCCCTGGGATCGTCTTTTCTTCGTGGCTAAGAAGGACAGAGGCTTGCGCCCTCCATACCTTCTGCCACAGCCACCACAACTCCTGGAACCAATTCATCTCAGGTGCTGAGTTCACACAGAATACTTTCTGCCAGCCTCTTGCGGATCTCACCCTATTCCAGTGCGTACTCTGTTACCCACCGCCTCTATTCCCCTGGTCTGGGAACCTTCAAAACTTCCATGTGTTTATCATTGGTTTTGGGAGAGTGAAAGGGTCTGGGAGTCAGCCTACCAACATCTGCAATCAGCAGTCACACGTCACGTCAAAAGAAAATACACTCACCAGCCACTTTATTAGGTACACCTGCTGTATAACTGCTCGTTAATGCAAATTTTCAATCAGCCAATCACATGGCAGCATCTCAATGTATTTAGGTATGTAGACATGGTCAAGACGATCTTCTGCAGTTCAAACCGAGCATCAGAATGGGAAGGAAAGGTGATTTCAGTGACTTTGGGTGGAAAAAATGTTGAGTCTCGATTTTTTTTGCTGCAACATTCAGATGGTAGGGTCAGAATTTGGCGTCAACAACATGAAGCATGGATCCATCCTGCCTTGCATCAATGGTTCAGGCTTGTAATGGTGGTGTAATGGTGTGGGGGATATTTTCTTGGTACATTTTGGGCCTGTTAGTACCAATTAAGCATAATGTCAACACCACAACCTACCTGAGTATTGTTGCTGACCTCCACAGTCACCAGAACTGTTTCCAATAGAACACGTTTTGGAGATTCGCATCATGGATGTGCAGCCGACAAATCTGCAGCAACTGCTTGACGCTATCATTTTAATATGGACCAAAATCTTTGAGGAATATTTGCAGTACCTTGTTAAATCTACATCACAAAAGATTAAGGCAGTTCTGAAGGCAAAAGGAGTCCAACCTGCTACTAGTAAGGTGTACCTATTAAAATGGACGGTAAGTGTATGTCACTTTAGAATTTGTATCATAGTACTGAAGCTGTATTGCTGTGCTACTTTAGTTCTGCTGTTGTATTGCAGTAGTACTCAAGTTCTGTTGTAGTAGTTGTCTGCAGTTGTTTTGTAGTAGTTTATACACATAAAATACAAATGTATAACTTTTTAAATCCAAATCCAAAGGATTGTTGGGCTGCAATAATTAGGACAACCTGAACTGGCAACACTTTTTAAAAAATTTTTTAAATTAGTCTGTTTCTCTTTATGCAGAAGTCTTCAAAATCTTGGATCCAGCCAGTATCCTGAGCAGATGGCTGTCATGGTCATGGATAAGTCGAGAATCTGAGACTGATTCCTGAAAGACCCCAGTGAAAAACAAGTCTCTGCACGGATGCCTGCTGATGACCTACTCAGACCTGCAGCTTCTCTCCATGTTGGATTTCCAGCATTCTCAAGTCTCAGGCACCCAGATGTTTGGCCAGAGGAGAATTGGTCATGCCCAGCTGAGCCTGGTTTCTCTTAATGTAATTTTTACTTCACTCACATCCATTGGTAAAGTTTGTTTCTCATCACTGGCTTGCTTAGTTTGGAACATTTACATTACACTGAACTGAACTTAACTGTGACAGCTCAACTGAAGCAGTTTTAATTTACTAGAACTATGTTAAGCTGCTTTGACACGATCTACATTGAAAGTGCTTTAGAAGTAAAGATGAATTGAATTGAATAAGTTGTAAAGTATACAGGCTTCACTAAACCGTTTCATAAAACCTGAAACAATGTCGCCGTATATTTATGGTAACTCAACTGCTAGCTGAGGACAGTTCAACACTTTAACTGTAGGAGTGCATGAAGTTCATATTGAGTGAAATGAAAAACACTTTATATTTCAAATGTGCTCATTTTTATTCATCAAACATCAAACATATATACACAATCCTATAGGACATGTCTTTGAACTGTGGGGGAAACCGGAGCACCCGGAGGAAACCCACGCGAACACGGGGAGAATAAGCAAACTCCACACAGAAAAGCCAACTGGCCCAGCCGGGACTGGATCCAGCGACCTTCTTGCTGTGAGGCAACAGTGCAAACCACTGAGCCACCGTGCCGCCCCTCCTTCTCTCCATCTAGACACGAACACCGGCTCCATTCAGCTCTTTTTCGTGCAACCATAAACACCAGCCTCAATTAGCTCCTCCTTGTCGTGCAACAACAAACACCAGCCCCAATTAGCTCCTCCTTTTCACGCACACACAAACACCAGCCCCATTCAGCTCTTTCTATTCGTCAAGCCACAAACTGCCCCATGTTTGTGGCTCGATGAATTTTTGTAGCTGAATAAAGAAGAGGAGCTTGGTGTTAATGCCTTGGTGAAGAGGAGGAGCTTGGTGTTAGGTTGCTCGATGAAGAGGAGGAGTTTGGTGTTAGGTTGCTCGATGAAGAGGAGGAGTTTGGTGTTAGTAGCTGGATGAAGAGAAGGAGCTTGGTGTAATCTTCTTCATGTCCCAGGATCTTCTTCAGCTGTGCTGTTATCTGGATGGAAAGAGAAAATGTGCAATATTAGTTTCATGTAAGATCAACATTTCAACACAAAAACTGAAACAAGACTTCCGTAAGAAGACCAGTTTCAATTTGGCCACTTCACAGATTAACAGTTCAGCAAGTGACGATTTGTGACAAACATTTAAGTAGAATATTTTGTACATTTCAGGAGTCATGTCGGGGGTTTTGTTGTTATTAAACTGACCTGAATTTCAATATAGACTGTATTTTTTCTTTTAAGGTTTTCTTCTCTTTGCTTGGCTTCAGGATCAAGACCTGGAACCAGTTATGGTGGAGGATCTCTTCAAGAGGAATCCGCTGTTGTGGATCTCTTTGCAGACAGGAACAGATCATGTCGATGCATTCTGTGAAGTAAGAAGGAACACATGTCAGGTTATTAGATTGCCACAAACCTTTCGGTTGCTGTAAATGATCACATTGTTTTCAGTTGTTGTTTCATCATCCACACGCTCTCACCTTTGGATAGTTTGTCACGCTCCCAGGTTCTGGCGACAATCTTAGTGAGCTCTCTTCGAGGGTATTTTCTGTGCAGCAGCCTGTACAACATTACACCTATAGAGTACACCGTTGCAGGCTTGGCGTAGAACTTTTTACAATCAGAAAACTCCGGAGGAGCATAAGGCTTTGTGCCTGGAAGAAAGATCAAGAACAGTTAGATATTTATCACATTAACAACAAAACTGATCTGCTGATGTCTTTGTGTTGCCTAGAAGGCTCAATATAAGTTGTCTTCATCATAATACACACCACAGAATGTTGAATAGCCTTCGCTGTTCATGATTCTACCAACACCAAAGTCTATTAGCTTGATCTGGAAGGTGTGGGGGTTGATGAGCACGTTTTCTGGCTTGATGTCGCTGTGGTAAACGTCCCTTTCACAGCATTCAATTGCAGCAGCGACCACCTGGTGCATCACCAATCGTGCTACCGATTCAGTCATTTTCTTACGATGCTTCCATGCAAACGTTTGCAGGTCCATGCAGGAATTGGGACGCTCCAGCACCAATGTGTATTGGCTCGGCGTCTCATACCAATCCAGCAGCTGTATTATTTGAGGAACGTAAGGACCTTTGCTCATCAAATACATCAATCCAACTTCATGTGGAACAATCTTCTCATATGGTAGCTGCAGGAGAGATAACAGACATATGATAGTGAGACGTGAATGGACTGAAGTTGAGGTCAGTATTATAACAACTTTAACACTGTGTACTTACAATCGTCAAGGTTCTTCTTGCTTTAGTCTTGCTCACATTTTTGATTGCCACCTGTTGACCAAGAGAAAGCGACAGTTAATTCACACGATCAGTCATGTAACATTCATCAAATTGAAATAGCAAGAAAGCACTTTTTCTGTTTGAAACAAACCTTTTGTGAATCCGACCGACGAACTCCAGCAGAGACGGATCCAAACCCTCCCTTACCTATAATGCTTTTGACTCGATATTCCTCATTGATGTTACCTGTAAAAAAATCAGTGAAACAAATAATGATGGACATTTATAAACCATCAAAAAGCCGATTGAAGATTGCTTTAGAATATTTATTATTAAGCTATTAGGCCTCACCAATATTTGATTACTCTCCTTCAATATTATTTTGGAGGATTTGTCCTCAGTTACAGTTTAAACTGGCAACCCCTACTTTACCTTGAGTACATTCCTGAAGAAAGGATCAACAGTACTTTTACTCCAACATTTAGTGGTGTTTAAGTATTTACAACATTTGTCTCATCTTTATTTTTCTTACATCTTTAGCTAGGGCTGCACATTTCTGGTAAAATAGATGATGTTGTGATGTATTCATAACAATATTTCCCAGAGAAATGCCATTTTAACTGGCTATTTTTAATGTATTGATGTATCACTCATAGTCAAATAAACAGTAAAATATATTATGCTGATTTTATATACATATCAGCAGATGTTCTGATTCACAGTTTTTATTTGCTGTTTCACTTTCCTCTCTTGTCTACTTCTGCCATTAACTGTTCATTTTCGGCTCTCTTTTTGTTTTTGATGTATTGTGCAGCTCTAATCTTTTACAGTTGAACATTTTAGCTTGGACTAATTGCACTTCTTGAAATAAAACCTAAAGATCTCCGTTTTGCACTTCAGAACATGTCAAGTATTGCTACAGCAAATTCATAATAATATACATATTTGAACTTGGTAATATGTCCACCAGCATTTACTATCTGTACTTTAACTAATTACATTTATCAAATGCAGTGGAGTAAAACGTACAAGATTTTGTTTTGGAATGTTGTATTAAAATACTACTTCCAATAAAAAAAACCGTAATAAACTGACCTGGATTCGAGTCCAAATTCACTGGGATTTTCTTTTCTGCCTTCCAAAAATCGTTATCCGATGAGGAAGCGGTGCTTTCCTTGGACACACTGGGTTCAGGGGTCGGCGAAGACACACAAGGGGGCGCACTATGCACTGAAGCGCGGTCAGATTCGCCTTTCTCTGAGGTGTCAAGCGAAGACGCACAGGAGTGCCAACTTTGCAGTGAAGCGCGGTCAGACTCGCTGATATCCGCGGGGGTCAGAGAAGAAACACACAAGTGCCAGCATTCAGTGTCCTCGGGCTGTTCGGTTTCTGTTGACGGGGTCTTCACAGGGGTCTGGATAGACACGCACCTGTTGTTGACCCGCTCGTCCTGAACCGGCCTCGGCGACACACACGCAGCTTCACCATCAGGGGATCTCTGAGTCTGTGGGCTGCTCGGCTGGGTCTGTGGGGCTCTGGTTGTGGTTTTCTTGAATTTCCGAGAAAACCATTTACGGAACCTCTTTAGTTTCTTCTCCGCTTTCTGTGGTGCTGGGCTTGGTGAAACACCAGCTCCAGTATGAATGTGAGAGATGAACGCGACGTTACTTGGTCCGGCTTCGCCATCGAAACATCTCTGGTGCTCGAGTTCGCCGAGCGACTGGTTCTGCTGGGTTTTCCCGGATTTCCGAAAAAAGGCCCAGTTACAGAACTTTTTAAATTTCTTTCCAACTCGTCCCATTGTTCTATATTTCTTTCCAAAATCGACAATATTAATGTTGAAAACTGAATTTTCTGTAACACGATCTAGTGAAACTGAATACATCAGATATAAAACGCAGATCTTGTCGTATAATACAGTTCAAACTTGATTAAACAATCGACGTCTTACAAATGAATGTGCTTTTGCTCTTCCACGTCATTCTATAGAACTATGATGGAACTTTTCGAACGTTTGACGCAAATGCTCATTTGCATACAGCAGCAGCACCAGTCTAATGAAAATGGCTATTTACAGAAAAGCTATATTAGCCCTTTAAACAGTGGGAAAGTTTGCTCTTGTCTGTACCTTGAATAATAATAGTCATGATGACAATAAGTTAACATAAATTTGTCATTTACTAAACTATAGCATTAAACAAACAACAATATAAAGATGTTATATAAATGAGTCAAAAGAACAATGTTTTCATATTGCATTCATTATTATGCAGTAAAGCTTTACATTGCAGTCAAACCTATTTGCTCTAAAGCAAATAACATGATTACATATTATTATATATTATATTCCTGTTTTTATTATGTTGTTATTATATAATATAGAAATATTGCCATTATACACAGTTGAAGTCAGAATTATTTGCCCCCCTTTGATTTTTTTTTAAATATCTCCCAAATGATGATTAACAGAGCAAGGAAATATTCACAATATGTCTGATAAAAAATTTTCTTCTGCAGAAAAGTTTGATTTATTTCGGCTAGAATAAAAGCAGTTTTTAATTTAAAACCCATTTTAGGGTCAAAATTATTAGCTCCTTTAAGCTATATATTTTTTGGTAGTATACAGAACAAACCATCTTTGCACAATAACTTGCCTAATTACCCTAACCTGCCTAGATAACCTAATTAACTTAGTTAAGCATTTCAATGGCACTTTACGCTGTATAGAAGTGTCCTGAAAAATATCTAGTCAAATATTATTTACTATCATCATGGCAAAGATCAAATAAATCAGTTTTTAGAAATGAGTTATTAAAACTATTATGTTTAGAAATGTGTTTAAAAAATCTCTCTGTTAAACAGAAATTTGGCCAGGGGGGATAAACAGCGGCTAATAATTTTTACTTTAACTGTAAACCCAAAATAAATAATATTTTGCACTCTACAGGCATCCATCAGACTACTGGATACATTGTAACTGTATTTATTACAAATGCAAATGTAAAAAAAAAAAAAAAGTCCCAATAATACATGTAGTCCAACAGCATGCGGCAATATTTGTCAAACTACAGTGAGTTCAGTCTCCACTTGGCACTTTACTCCCACAGGGGTATAACAGTTTCTAGTTATAAATTAAAAATTTGTATGAACCCTGTATATGAATGAATTATATAGCTCTTATATACATTTTCTATCATATGTTGTAACATTTTTCTATAACTGTTAAGATTTGAATGTTATTACCTCTTTTCAAAACCAGGGGGCCCCCATGAATAATAAAAAGTTCCTTTAGTACTCCACATGCGTGAGGTGTGAGCTCCTTTAATCAAAAACACTGCTTGCCAGTGTTGCCAACTTATTGCCAAATTTTCTAAAAAATAAAAAAGTTAATGGAGATTTTTAGACTCTCATGTGTGCGTGCTGTACCATTTCTAATGTTACTCTTCACGACGAGCTCTCGTCGGTCTCTCCCCTGCCTCAGACCACTCAAGGTGGCACAGTGCCACACAGCCGTCTCTCACATCTGCAGCATTGAGAGCAGATCATTCCTCTGCACATCGACAGCAAATGTTTAAGCACTGCGAGCGTGAGGTATTTCCCTGGTACAGTCAAACCGATCTGCTTCTCCTCTGTTTAAAATGTAATAATTTATATAAACTGTTTAATTATTTTATGTTTATATTATAATCACAGATATTTTAGTGACACCAGTCTGCCAGCCATCAGAGTAGAGGCAGGTAGAGTGTGGAAGAGGGAGAATTTTGAGTATATTAACGGAAAAAAACGGCCGCCGATTCACAAACAGCAATAATTCAATTTATATGAAAATGGTGTAAAGATTTATTTGATGGATTGCAAATTTAAAGTTTTTTTTTTATTATTATTACTATTAAAATCTAATCACAAAAATGGCTGTACATTGGAGTGTCCAAACTTGATCCTGGAGGGCCGGTGTCCTGCAAACTTTAGTTCCAGTCCCTATCAGACACACCTGGGCTAGCTAATCAAGCTTGGCTTTTGCCCCCCCAACCCTACTCTACCTCAAACGGGCGACACGGTGGCCAGGGATTAGCACTGTTGCCTCACAGCAAGAATGCCTCTGGTTCATTCCCTTCTAAACCAGGCGGCATTTCTGTGCTGAGTTTTGCTTGTTCTCCCCGTGCTCGCGTGGGTTTTCCCTGGGTCCTCCGGTTTCCTCCCACAGTCCAAAAAACAAGCACCCTAAACAATTGAGCACAAAATTTTTATAGTCAAGCTCCAAGTGAGTACACCTGTTCTCAGCCATCCATATCCGACACTTAGCTACAAAGCTCAAAAGCAAGGGGGGAGTCATCGAGATCTGCCTGAGCTCAAACTCCCATCTCGCCCTGCACTGGGAAGTTGCCAAACAAGCTTTATTATCAATCATTAGCTAAGTGTGAACTCTTGAAATAGCATGTGAATGTGCACGTCTAGTTTGCGATACTTTCAACTGTCATGTGCGCGCCAACTCGCGATGCTGAGCGGTGCATCCGGTGTGTGACGCCCTTTAGGGTCTTGTATTTTTGTATTTTTAAAATGCTGTAAAATACTTTGTAAAAAGTCTATATGTTGACATCTTAAAAAGAGAGAGAAAATAAGACAAACAACATTAAAACAAGTCCTTCACAAAAAGAAGCTTCAAAAGAAAGCTGTTGTTGTCAAACATTGATTACTTCACTAAATCAGTTTAATACTGAAAGGATTGATCCAATATGCTTATTGATAGAAGGTTTGTGAAGAAATGTTAAACTCCCATGTAGTATTTTCAAAATACAAAATATAGTATTTTATTTTGATACTTGTTTTGGCTGCTGTATTTTGTAGATTACTTTGATACATGTAAAACTAATGTATTTGATATTCATTAATTTTCTTGTCGGCTTAGTCCCTTTATTAATCCGGGTCACCACAGCGGAATAAACCGGCAACTTATCCAGCAAGTTTTTTACGCAGCGGATACCCTTCCAGCCACAACCCATCTCTGGGAAACATCCACATTCACACACACACACACACACACACACACACACTACAGACAATTTAGCCTACCCAATTCAACTGTACCGCATGTCTTTGGACTGTGGGGGAAACCGGAGCACGAACCCATGCGAAGGCAGGGAGAACATGCAAACTCCACGCAGAAACGGCAACTGAGCCGAGGTTCGAACCGGCGACCCAGCGACCTTCTTGCTGTGAGGCGACAACACTACCTACTGCGCCACTGCCTCGCCCTGTATTTGATATTATATTTTAAAATACATTTCAATAACCATCCCTGGTGTGATTGATTATTTAACAAAATGACTACAAGCGTATCCTCTACGAACGACAACAGCAGCAGAGGTGACTGAATGTATTATAAAAATCTTTCACCAATTTAAGACTCCAAAAAGGATCTTAATGGACAAAGGAAGAGAGTTTGTGAATGTGGTAAAACAATTCTCTTTTAGTTGTGTTGTGAGGATTTTTATATCCTAAACATTTTCTCAACACAACCACAAGTGATATTGTTAAGACAGACTGATATCTACTGTGTTTATCTCTGTATAGCTGGTTTGACACACTCTGTATGGTACACATAAATGTGACTTGACTATAATTTATGTTACAATTTGTTTTATATTAACAGATAAGCAAGAATGTCTGCGCCAAGCTGGGGATAAAAAGGAGCCGTTGTTCACCGGACCATTCTCAAACAGGCTGGTAGAGAGGATAATTGGCACCATGCAATGGTAAGTCAGAAGTTCTATTTAAGACAACCATTCAATATTTAAATGATGTTATTTTAATGGTGTGGGCGTCACAGTGGTGCAGTGGGTAGCACAATCGCCTCACAGCAAGAAGGTTGCTGGTTCAAGCCTCGGCTGGGGCAGTTGGCATGTTTGCATGTTCTCACCCGGTTGGCGTGCGTTTCCTCTGGGTGCTCTGGTTTACCCCACAAGTCCAAAGGCATGCTGTACAGGTAAACTGTATACGCTAAATTGTCCGTAGTGTATGTGTGTGAATGGGAGTGTATGGGTGTTTTCCAGTGGTTGTTTGCAGCTAGAAAGGCATGTGTAAAATAAATGCTGGATAAGTTGGTGGTTCATTCCGCTGTGGTAACCCCAGATTAACAAAGGGACTAATGGAAGGGCTTTTCAAGTTAAAGCAGCAAACGAGATAACAGTTCTAAGAAATCAATCTGGGGTGTGTTTTTGAAAATCATGATTAGCCAACTAAGGTCGCTAGCTCCGTCGTTACAAACATAGTTTGTTGATTTGGTGTTTCCCAAATCCATCCAACAAACATTCGCAAACTGTCTTGAAAATTTGTCATTTGCAACTACACCTCTAGAGCTGTTCTCATGACGAAGCTGTTGGTTTTTCATTCATTTTCTTTTGGTGACCTATGAAAAGCAGAATCTACTCTAGATTTCCAAGGCCTGTGAAAAAATGTATAGGGTACGTAAATAGTTTTAATTTATAGTAGCCTAGGCTATTTATTAAGACACGTATCTGTACTGCACACTAACCGGCCACTTTATTAGGTATACATGTCCAACTGCTTAAGGTAAAAGTCACATTACTTGCATTTGTCTCTCTACAGGTAATGTGTCTATAGTTCACCTTGGCCTCAGCAGCGGGGGAGTTTGAGATCGACCTGAGCTAAATTTCCCCTCGCCCTGGGAAAGGGGGGAGCACTGGGCCCGAGGATCTCTTGAGCTCCGGGCTCTCTCCCGGGACAGCATGCTAAACAACCTATGAATAAATCATGAGCTAAGTGTGAACTCTTGAAACAAAATGATTAGACGTTAATAAAAGTGAGCGATTGCTCCACATTTTAAATGACTTATTTTAAATGATCTTCTATTGGTCTTACACAATCCCCTGATGTGATTTCGCAGGTAAGAATTCACCAAGCTTGAACTTTCGAATGCAGTGAAATGTGAAACATGCGCTTGTGTTTTTGGTCTGCTGAATTCTGAATTGCCTATGAATGGAAGTCTATGCCGCAAAAAAGTGCAGTGTGATCGCGGCTTTATAATAGAAGTAGTTTTACCTACTATTACTAGTTTAACAAACTATTAAGATTATCTAAAATTATTTTAACAAATATCTGTATATTGGAATGGAGGTTAGTTGTTTTGACTTCTTTTCTTTTCTTAGCCAAAAACATGCTCTCCCATTATTAGTGCTGTGTAAGCATAATCTGATTTACATAGATATACAAATAAATTGAAACTATTACATGTTTTTTGATATGCTGTAAAAAATGTAAATGTTTCTAATGATTTACGACATATTAGGTCATAAAAATTTATTTGAAAGTCCTGGAAAAGTCCTGGAACTTTTGTAGTAAAAATGTGTATGAACCCTGAATAGATCTCTGCAGGTCTCAGGATCATCATGCGGCCAAACTGTGTCTCTACTGTAGACCAGGTGGACATGTAAAACAGGCGATTCGTCTTCCACAAACTGCAGTGAGTATGGTTACTGATTTACCATCCATGTACATCCATGAATCATGACTGTAGAACTCACTACTCTTCTAAACTGTTACAGTGTATGCTCTCCTCAACTCTGGGTCAGCCAGAAATATCATCTCTGCAGACTTATGCCACAGACTCCAGCTCAAGAAATAATATTTCTACAACACCCCTTATCAGATCCAGTCCATAACTGGAAGTCCACTTGCCTGAGGACATGTTCAACTGCATGGGTCCCGTTCAGTTGCAGATTGGACAACGTTTGTTCCTCGTCATTGTTGCCATTGGCTTGCTTGGTTTGGAACTTGTGGAGCTGCGCACTGATGGATTTTCTCTTCAGTGTTTGGACTTTCAGCAGTGAAAATTAAACCACACTGAACTGAACTAAACTGAACTTTAACTGTGAAAACTAGACTGACACAGTTTCAATTTACTAGAACTTCTACGTTAAGCTGCTTTGACGCAATCCACAGTGTTAAATCTCTTTAGAAATACAGAATATTTGAATTGAATTGAATGGTGCGATGCAAAAATAATTAAGGTAGACCACTAAAAGTTGCAATTAGGAAGCTCCCCAGAATCCCAAGAGGTAATATTTTTACCAAGTCTAACCTTTAAGAATGAATTTCTTAGGTCATCAATGTATATGTGATGATGCTAGTTAACAAACACAACCATCACCATGTGAAAAAAAGCAGCTGTAATTGCCAGATTAAGGTCATGGTAAAACTTTCAGAGGAAACAAAAGAATTCAGGTCTGCACTTGTTTGTAATTCTCATGTTGTAAATAAACAAATTGTGTTTTTTTAAGTAACTGAGAATAGTGTTTGTCTGACTGCTTTCAGATTGATCCAACAACACACGAGATTATTATGGGGAAAGTGAACGAGTATCATTAATGGATGTTGGTGGTGCATCCTGTTGGGTACCAGTTTCACCACCTCCAGTCTTATTATGTGGGGAACGAGCTTCATTAACCTGACCTGGAGCACCAGCCTTACCAGCCTTCTCTGGTCCTCACCCCTCATCGTGGCCTGCCTCTTCAACATGCTTATGACACAAACCTCACCATACCCTGCATCAGCAGCCAGCTCACAAACTCCAAAACACATCTCAGTTGAAAAAATGATGTATAATATTAAGTGTTTTAATTGAGTAAATTAATCTTGGCCAGCAAAAATATTTACATTATAGTGAAAATGCCTTTACAAACTCTTTAATTTGGATATAGAAAATATCTGCCCCAACAGGGAGCTTGAAAGTGAGGTATGCCTTTTTTATTAGGATCACTTTCCACTCTCGAATGCCTATTGTCATGCATAAACTTTGTACTGACACAGGAATATTATAGCTGATGTTTTTAAAACATGAAATCAGCAATACATTTCTTAGGTCATCAATGCATATTTGATGATGCTAGTAAACAAACACAACCACCATCATGCGGAAAAAGCAGCTGTAATTGACAGTTTTACCATGACCTTAATCTGACAGAGGAAACAGGATAATCCGGGTCTGCACTTGATTGTAAGTCTCATGTTGTAAATAATTGAATTGTGTTTTTTTAAGGAACTGAGAATAGTATTTGTCTGACTGCTTTCAGATTGATTCAACGACACACAAGATTATTCTGGGAATAGTGAACGAGCATCATCACTGGATGTTGGTGGTAAGAAATCGAGCCTTGCAAGAATCTCACTACAGGTAGTATAATACCCACATAATTAAAGTTTACGTTAAGTTTACTTGACCAAACATCGATGCGCTAAGCTTTACAGTATCTCACATGATGAAATATCACTAATACCACAAGTGTCAGTGTATGTTGTGTTTTGATGTTTTACTTAAAGGAGTTGTCCACTACGATGTCATATTTTAAACTTTAGTTGATGTGTAATGTAGCTGTGTGATCATAAACAACATCTCTGAATGTAATATGTTTAAACTTTAATGCAAAGGGGGACATTGGCTTTTAAGAGTTAGCTTAGCAAAGTTTACAGTGAATGAAGCTTGGGGACTACAAAAAAATACATCCGAGTTTATGAGATCATAAACCCTTCAGGTTACGCGCATTCACCACACACATACAGCCTCGCAGCAAAGGGCTATGGCCAGAGGTGCTGTAATGATGTAGCAGAGAAAGCTAAAATTGCGTCCAAACGCTGCTATTGCCACAGAGCTTCTTTTGTTTCTGTATTCGGACTTCCAAAGGACACAACAGAAAGACAGAAGTGCTTACAGTTTAATTTTAATGATGTTCCAGAGAATTATAAAAAAGATATTGTTAGCATTTGACAAAGGACAGCTTCCAGAATCTCTCCCAGTTCAGTGCTGGATTCGGCTAAAATTCCTCAAAGAAGCAGCACCAACTATAATAGACGAAGCTGTGGATTGTGAGCCACAACCTGTAAGTGTTTTATTTGTTTAGACTGATCTATTACCTGCCCAGTATCTAGCGTTAACAGTATTTTATAGCGAGAATGTAAACAACGGGAAATGCTGTTTGGCACTGTTAGTTATTTTGCTACAAATTTATATTTATTAGTCAAACTGCTGTAAACAGCCACAATCCTCAGCAGCGCTGCAGTGTCTCTCTATGCGGCTGCTTTCCCTGCGTTCTACATCTCAAATAATGAACTAGAAGATTTGTGAACGTTTCATATCACTTACACATGCTTATTCCGGATATATGTAAAAGACACTTGTCAGATTTTATTTCGAGAGCAGGCGTGAGGTTCAGCTGTGTCCTCTTCATTTTCTGTCTGATTCAGGCTTAAACTGATGCGGTTAACGACTACTCTGACTGACTGCTTACTCAGCGCAAAAGTGCATGCTTGTAGGGGCGTGACGCTTTTCCTTGTAACGTGGGCTGATCCACGAATCACAGAACATTATGTTAGCTGACCAATCAGAGCCTATGTAAGGCAGCTTTTCAGAGGAACTAGGAAATATGACAGTCGGTTTCATGTTAGCTGAGTAGCTTTATATAATCAAAGTAAGATAAATGAAACATAATGTGATATTTCACAACTGAAGCACGAGCACACATCGCTTTGCATCTTATAAACACGACCAAGCCTTAAAAACACACTCTGGACCACCCCTTTAAAGGTCATGTACCCACATGAGAAGAGGAGCCTTCTCCTGGATCCACTTGAGGAAACAGACAGAAAAATGAAGACATGTTTGGAATCAAGAAGGTAAAATGTTTTTTTTTTTTATCTTATTGTATTTTGTTGTTTAATGATGTGCTACATACTGCACACTTGCTATTGATCACAGATCATTCATGAAGAAGAAAAACTGCAACATTTAATGTGGACACGCAGCACTCTCCCTCATAGATGCCAGAAAGATGGAACGTCTTGTGGTGTCCTGGTCTGAAAAGTGAGTGTAAAATAATATTATTATCAATAAGTAAAGAATAAGACCTGGTTTTATGAAGAAGAGGGTTAATTCCACATGGATGGTTTTATTAAATGTACTAATTCAACAGAATTAACTTTGTATATCTGAAGAATTCAAATGAACTGTCTTTCTTGTAACCATGCATTCCTTATGCACTACAGCTCATCATCTTTTGTTTTGTTGAGTTTGCAGAGACACTTTTACAAGGGGAGGCAATAGACCTCTGCACATCTCAGGAAGCATTGTAATCATCATGCAACCAAACTGTGTCTCTACTGTAGACCAGGTGGACATGTAATACTGGCCATTCGTCTTCCAAAACCTGCAGTGAGTGTGTTTACTGATTTACCATCCATGTACATCCATAAATCACAATTGTAGAACTCACTACTCTTCTAAACTGTTACAGTGATGCTATCATGTCAATATGGACCAAAATCTCTGAGGAATATTTCCAGTACCTTGCTGAATCTACATCATAAAAGATTAAGGCAGTTCTGAAGGCAAAAGGGATCCGACCTGCTACTAGTAAGGTGTACCTATTAAAATGACCAGTAAGTGTAAATCATTTTAGTTTTTTTATTATAGTACTGGAGCTAGTTAGTCCTGTAGCTGCTGTAGTTGCTGTTGAATTGCAGTAGTACTCAAATTCTGTTGTAGTAGTTGTACTGCAGTTGTTTTGTAGTAGTACATACACATCAAATGCAAATGTATTGTTAGGCTGCATTAATTAGGACAACCTGAACTGGCAACACTTTTGCAAAAAAAATTTTTATATTAGTCTGTTTCTCTTTATGCAGAAGTCTTCAAAATCTTGGATCCAGCCAGTATCCTGAGCAGATGGCTGTCATGGTCATGGATAAGTCGAGAATCTGAGACTGATTCCTGAAAGACCCCAGTGAAAAACAAGTCTCTGCACGGATACTGCTGCTGATGACCTACTCAGACCTGCAGCTTCACTCCATGTTGGATTTCCAGCATTCTCAAGTCTCAGGCACCCAGATGTTTGGCCAGAGGAGAACTGGTCATGCCCGGCTGAGCCTGGTTTCTCTGAAGGTATTTTTACTTCACTCACATCCATTGGTAAAGTTTGTATCTCACCATAGGCTTGCTTAGTTTGGAATATTTACATTACACTGAACTTAACTGTGACAGCTCAACTGAAGCAGTTTTAATTTACTAGAACTATGTTAAGCTGCTTTGACAAGATCTACATTGAAAGTGCTTTAGAAGTAAAGATGAATTGAATTGAATAAGTTGTAAAGTATACAGGCTTCACTAAACCGTTTCATAAAACCTGAAACAATGTCGCCGTATATTTATGGTAACTCAACTGCTGGCTGAGGACAGTTCAACACTTTAACTGTAGGAGTGCATGAAGTTCATATTGAGTGAAATGAAAAACACTTTATATTTCAAATGTGCTCATTTTTATTCATCAAACATCAAACATATATACACAATCCTATAGGACATGTCTTTGGACTGTGGGGGAAACCGGAGCACCCGGAGGAAACCCACGCGAACACGGGGAGAATAAGCAAACTCCACACAGAAAAGCCAACTGGCCCAGCCGGGACTGGATCCAGCGACCTTCTTGCTGTGAGGCAACAGTGCTAACCACTGAGCCACCGTGCCGCCCCTCCTTCTCTCCATCTAGACACGAACACCGGCTCCATTCAGCTCTTTTTCGTGCAACCATAAACACCAGCCTCAATTAGCTCCTCCTTGTCGTGCAACAACAAACACCAGCCCCAATTAGCTCCTCCTTTTCACGCAAGCACAAACACCAGCCCCATTCAGCTCTTTCTATTCGTCAAGCCACAAACTGCCCCATGTTTGTGGCTCGATGAATTTTTGTAGCTGAATAAAGAAGAGGAGCTTGGTGTTAATGCCTTGGTGAAGAGGAGGAGCTTGGTGTTAGGTTGCTCGATGAAGAGGAGGAGTTTGGTGTTAGGTTGCTCGATGAAGAGGAGGAGTTTGGTGTTAGTAGCTGGATGAAGAGAAGGAGCTTGGTGTAATCTTCTTCATGTCCCAGGATCTTCTTCAGCTGTGCTGTTATCTGGATGGAAAGTTGAAAATGTGCAATATTAGTTTCATGTAAGATCAACATTACAACACAAAAACTGGGGCTTTTGTTGTTATTAAACTGACCTTAATTTCAGTCTAAACCTTTTTAATCCACTCAATTGTTTCTTCTTTCCGCTTGGCTTCAGGATCAAGACCTGGAACCATTTATGAAGAAGGATCTCATCAAAAGGCATCCGCTTGTCTGGATCACTTTGCAGACAGGAACAGATCAGATCTATGGATTCTGTGAAGAAAGAAGGAACAGATGTCAGGTTATGTCACAAACCTTACGGTTGGTGTAAATTATTTCAAAGTTCTTGTTTCATCATCCGCATGCTCTCACCGTTGGATAGCTCTTCAGGCTGCCAGGTTCTTTTGACAATCTTGTTGAGCTCTTCTTTAGGGAATCGTCCACACAGCATCTTGAACAACAGTACTCCTAAAGAATACGCGATTGCATGCTTGGCGTAGAACTTTCTTCCATGACGATAAAACTCCGGGGGAACACAAGCTTTTGAGCCTGGAAGAAAGAGCGAGATTGCATCCCAATGCTGTCTAAATATCCATATTTACAAAATAACTCTCATCACCTTTGCCATAGGGCTTAGGCTAAATCGTGACTGTTATCATACATACCCCAGTATGTTGAATAGCCAGTGTTTTTCATGGGTCTTCCAGTGCCAAAGTCTATCAGTTTGACTTGAAAGGTGTGAGGGTTGATAAGCAGGTTCTCCAGCTTGATGCTGCTGTGGTAGACGCCCCTTTCGCAGCATATTCTGGCAGCAGTGACCACCTGGTGCATCACCAGTCGCGCTTTCGCCTCGCTGATTTTGTTCCCATGCCGCATTACAAACTGGTGCATGTCCATACATGATTTGGGACACTCCAGCACCAGTATGTACTTGTCGGGTGTCTCGTACCAATCCAGCAGCTGGATTATTTGAGGAACGTTAGGGCCCCTGCTCATCAAATACATCAAACCGACTTCTTGTGGAACGGTCTGCTGTAATGCTTCCTGCAGGAGAGATAACAGACATATGATAGTGAGATGTGAATGAACTGGAGACTTGTTTAACAGTTTTGTGAGTGTGTACTTACAATCTTGATCCTACTCATTGTAGTTGTCTTCTTGACGTATTTGATTGCCACCTGTTCACCAAGAGAAAGCCACAGTTAGCTCACATGATTCAGTCATGACATTGCAGGAAAAAAGCACAACGTCACTTTGTTATGTTTGAAACCAACCTTTCGGTAATCCGACAGACGAATTCCATAATAGACAGCTCCATTCGATCCACTGCCTAATAGGTAACAGACTTTATACTCCTGGAAGATGTTACCTGTAAAAAAATCAATGAAACAAACAATGAAGGACATTTAAAATGCAAACCATCAAAAAGCAGACTGAGGATTGCTTAGAATAGCACAGTTTTATTAACTTATAATTATTAAAAGTGCCATATAAAGGATTGATTCAATAAGGTAAATTGTTCTCTGATATCTAGTAGGCATGTGGCTTGGGTAAGTCTACAAAAACATTCATTTTCATTCGGCTTAGACTTTATTAATCAGGTGTCGCCAGAGTGGAATGAACCGCCAGCATAGTGTTTGTTTTACACAGCGGATGCCCTTCCAGCTGCAACCCACTACTGGAAAACCCCTATACACATTCACCCACAAACTACGGCCAATTATTCAATTCACCTACAGCGCATGTATTCGGACTGTGAGGGAAACCAGAACACCTGGAGGAAACCCACGCCAAGAACATGCAAACTAGCCCAGCTTGGCCTTGAACAAGCGACCTTCCTCCTGTCAGGCGACACTGCCAACCACTGAGCCACCGTGTCGCATGTTTTATATGCTTATTTATTATTGTGTCCTGACACCCCTTCTACGATATGGACTAATCATCACGATAAAACAATTTCTATGTGCTATGCAGCCCCAATCTCAGCCATGTTAAGGTGGATAGACACTCAAAACGTTTGAGCTTGGCATGCAAGGGTCAGATTCAGTGCTTTAAATACTTAACATATCAATACTTGATGGTGTATATAAGACAAGTCAGATTCACAAAAATCTTAAGCTAGTTTTAAAAATGAGTAAGATTTAAAATGTTTTTCAGTTCAATTATTAAAAAAAACTCTTCTATATTTTCTTTTAAGAACATTTTTTCTTATAAATACAGTTATCGTAAAGCTACTACTCATAATAACATTTGTAATAACGACAAAAACCCGTTTAAGACACTCGAAAAATGTGTTCTTTGATGTAACATGTTGGTTTTTTAAGTATTAGCCATATAAATAAAGCCTTTTTAATATTTTGTCCACAATTTTCGAGTACCTTCGACTGATTTGTGCTGTTTATTCTGATGAATCCCTTACCCAAAGAGCACTGGCACATTATTTAAGCTACCCCTGAGCACTTTTTGTTTGATTTTGGGTTCGTAAAAACAGTTTTATGTATTGTAATAAGTCAAATTAGTACCTTTTAGTTAAGTTAGCTTAGTTTATTTGTTTACAGGGTGAATGCACATTAATTGGGTCTACGCTAACAGGGTCTACACATTAACATTACTATAAAATGTGCCAGAATTAGCCAAGAATGGCTATTTTTAATCTGTAGACCCCTTACAGAATGTTAAAAAGTGCCACTTAAAACAAAAGCAAGGCATAATAACAGAATACACTATCATTAATATACATATATACACAATACATACATATACACACACAGGAAGGGTTGGGTAGTATTTATAAAACAAGTACAGCAAATACATATTTTAAATACAAAATAGTATTTGTTATGAAAATGGCTGAATATTGTGTATTAAATTAGTTTAGTGTCTTGTATTTTTAAAATGCTGTAAAATACTTTGGAAGAAATCTACATCAATTAAATGCACCCTCTGATTGGTGCTTTGGATGTTATTGACTCTTCCATTTAAGGAAGAAAGAGGAGAAAGAGTATGCTGTACAAATAATAGTAGTTTTGGGTGGATTGTTGGTGCAAAATGTTTTTGTTTAGTTAATGAGAAGGTAGGATGTGTTCACAACATTTGAAACACAAATATTTAATATTCAAAAACCCCTAATATAGTTTTTACACTGAGTATTGAAGAGTTCAATAGCAAATAATCAGACTTCTGAAAAATTCTGTGAACAAAAAATGTAAACTCTTTATTTAAAATATTAAGAGGTTGAGTGATTATTGTACACTATCACTATCAATTATTGTTTACTTCACTAAGGCAGTTTAATGGGGAAGGTATTGTTCGAATAGGTCTAATTGATGGAAGAATTCCAAAGCTGCTTTGTAAAAGTATTTTGTAGTATTTTTAAAATACAGAATACAGTATTTTAATGTGATACATTTGTGGCTGCTGTGTTCTGTAGTTTATTTTGATACATCTATAATTAAGTGTATTTAGTATTTTTATTTTAAAATACTTTTTAATTAATTTTTGGCTTGCACACACATATAAATAAAACATTATAGTAACTACTAATATCATATGCAGTGGGGTAAAAAGCACAATATTTTGTTCTTGGAATGTTAATTAACTTCCAGTGAAGTAGAATGTATTTTAAGATTAAAAACAACACTTAATCAACTGACCTGTCTTTCCTTCCCAATTAAGTATCCGTTCCTCTTCTGTTTTCCAAAAAACTTCATTTGATGAGGAAGAGGTGCTTTCCTCGGACACACTGGAGTCCTCGCTGGAAGCTTCTTCCTCGTTGTGGTTGTCAGCGGTCAGCGAAGACGCACAAGAGTGCCTGCTGTGCACTGAAGCGCGGTCAGATTCGCTTTTCTCTGCGGTGCCAGGCGAAGACGCACAAGAGTGCCAACTAAACAATGATGCGCGGTCAGATTCGCCGTTCTCCGCGGGGTCAAGCGAAGACGCACAAGAGTGCCAGCTTTGCACTGAAGAGCAGTCATAGTCGCTGTTTCCCGCAGTGGTTAGAGAAGATACAGGACAGTCCCAGCATTCATTATCGTCGGGCTGTTCGGTTTCTGTTGACGGGGTCTTCACAGGGGTCTGGATAGACACGCACCTGTTGTTGACCCGCTCGTCCTGAACCGGCCTCGGCGACACACACGCAGCTTTACCATCAGGGGATCTCTGAGTCTGTGGGCTGCTCGGCTGGCTCTGTTTGGTTTTGGTTTTCTTGAATTTTCGAGAAAACCATTTCCGGAACCTCTTAAGTTTCTTCTCCGCTTTCTGTGTTGCTGGGCTTGGTGAAACACCAGCTCCTGTATGAATGTGAGAGATGAACGCGACGTTACTTGGTCCGGCTTCGCCATCAGAACATCTCTGGTGCTCGAGGTCGCCCTCGATTGTGTGCGGGTTCTGCTGGGTTTTCCGAGAAAAGACCCAGTTACAGAACTTTTTAAGTTTCTTTCCAACTCCCATTGATTCAGATTTCTTTCTAAAACCAATAGAATCGTTTTCAACTGTGAATTGATTGTTTAAAACAACGATCAACCGATTAAATCTCATTTAAAACGCAGATCTAAGTCAGTGCTACTGTCAAATCAAAGCGACGAGTTGCAAATGAGTGACATTCCACAGAGCTACGATGGAATTTTCGAACGTTTGACGTCATGGCTCATTTGAATACATCAGCGCGTGGCAGCGCCGTTCAAAAGAAAATAAATATTTGCAGAAAATGTTAGCTGTGTTTTAACACATATCTTCTTTTAAAAGCTTCTTATCGCTGTTTACAATATACTTATTCGTCAAACGCAGAGCTCGAATCACTCTCACAAACATGAATGATTTATTGGAAATCAGGGTGCGAATTACGGAGGAGAGGGAGGGGGTAATTAATAAACGATTTCCCTGAAGGATGTCAATACAAGATGGGTGTTCGGTGTTCCCTTTAAATAATGAAAAAAAATTTCAATTTGACCTGTATTTTATACTACCAACAATAAAAAAATAAACGTAACATAACAAACATAAACTTGACACCTGCCTAACCCCCCATATTAGTTTAACCCTTGTAAATGCATGATGGTGCACAACAAATAATTTGAGAGACACTGTTAGTGTTATAAAGACACATTTTGCTTGTAAAATAGGTGTTTGTGTCTACATGTTGCCTAAAAGTAAAGATTAGACTTTTGGTGTGTATTTAAAATGAATAAATTGAATTTAATTTTGAATGCAATAATGTGCAACTCTTCTAAAGCTGCTTTGAAACAATAATTATTATTTAAAAAAGCGCTAAACTAATAAACATGAATTGACTTGAATTAAATTTACATTGCCTATGCTGGAACATGGAAGTTACATCTGGAAGTACACTCACCGGCCACTTTATTAGGTACACCTTAGTAATACCGGCTTGGACCCCTTTTGCCTTCAGAATTGCCTTAATCATTTGGGGCATAGATTCAACAAGGAACTGGAAAATATTCCTCAGAGATTTTGGTCCATACTGACATGATAGCCTCACACAGTTCCTGCAGATTTGTCGGCTGCCATGCATCCATGATGCAAATCTCCTGCATATTTCCTGTTCTTAGCTGACAGGAGTGGCACCCGGTGTGGTCTTCTGCTGCTGTAGCCCATCCGCCTCAAGGTTGCACGTGTTGTGCTTTCAGAGATGCTCTCCTGCAGACCTCGGTTGTGATGAGTGCTTATTTGAGTTACTGTTGCCTCTGGCCATTCTCCTCTGACCTCTGGCATCAACAAGGCATTTTCATCCACAGAACTGCCGCTCACTGGATATTTCCTCTTTTTCAGACCATCCTCTGTAAACCCTAGAGATGGTTGTGCGTGAAAATCTCAGTAGATCAGCAGTTTATGAAATACTCAGACCAGCCTGTCTGACACCAACAACCATGCCACATTCAAAGTCACTTAAATCACCTTTCTTCCACATTCTGATGCTCAGTTTGAACTGCTGCATATCTTCTTGACCATGTCTACATGCTTAAATGCGTTGAGTTGCTGCCATGTGATTGGCTGATTAGAAATTTGCATTAACAAGCAGTTGGAAAGGTGTACCTAATAAAGTGGCCGGTGAGTGTAGATCTGCAGTGTAGTCAAAACAGCAAAAGCCATTGCTTATTCAAAAGCTTAGGATTAGTATTTTAATTATTGAAATATAATACCCCGTCAACAAAACAAAGATAATGTTGCTCCCAGATCAAGAAAATATAAAGTCATCAACAAAGTTCTTCCTCTATTTTCGCTAGATATATTATAACTACATACAGTAAAACATTATAATATTATTCTGCTGAGAATGTGATTTACCTTCATTTCTATATTGATTAAGTGTTCAAATTCATTAGGACATTCCTGCATTATTGATTTAAAACCTTAAAACTAATTATTATATTATGCATATATTATGTTCTGGTCTTTGTCGCCATCTAATGGCAAAACAATGCAACAACAACTGCCAAAGACTATAAGCATGTTGTTTTACCATACAAAGTACTTTTATAAAATATTACTGAAATAATTTATTTTACAGCATCAATAATGTAATTATTTAAAATATAGTCGTTTAATTAGACTTAAGCATTTATTTAATTGTTCAATCTCTAGAAATTAATTAAAAGAAATTAATTAAAAGATCTTTAAAAGCAAGCATCTACAGGAGCATTTCAACTCCATTGAAAATATTGTGGTAAAATTCATTCATTCATTTTCTTTTCAGCTTAGTCCCTTTATTATTCTGTGGTTGGCACATTGGAATCAACCGCCAACTTATCCAGCATATGTTTTACGCAGAGGATGCCCTTCCAGCTGCAACCCATCACTGGGAAAACTTTGGTAAAATAAATGGCCATATTTAAACACATGGCGTAGAACAATGTAGTTTCATGCAGTGTTTCTAGTACAGTTTGAGACCCACTTTATATTGTATATCAATCAGGCAGTGCAGATCAATGATTTTAAAGAAACCAGATCTTAAACATGGCGAGTTTATAATGGCGTAGCAGTTCAGCTGAAGCTCCTGAGCTGGCTTATTCAAAAATAAAAGTCCCCATGCAGTCCATTTATATAAAATGTTATTTTAATGTACAATAACATTAAACAAACAATATAAAAATAATTACAATTAAATCAGTCAAAAGAACAATGACCAAGTTTTCATATAGCATTTGCTGTAAAGCTTACAATTGCAGTCTGGAGCAAATAACAGATGATTACGGCCAAATATTGGTATTATATAGACAACAAATTAATTATATTTCACATTTAACCACTATACAGACATCAGACTCCTGAATTTGTATACACTCACTGGCCACTTCATTAGGTATAGTATTATACTATTATTATACTATGCTATACTATTACTATATTATACACTTTATTATTACATTGCCTGGTAGATTTCTGCTGTGACATACGGATGGGATGGTCGGTTCAGAATTTGGCATCAACAACATGAAAGCATGGATCCATCCTGCCTTGCATCAACAGTTCAGGCTGCTGGTGGTGGTGTAATGGTGTGGGGGATGTTTTCTTGGCACGCTTTGGGTCCATAAGTACCAATTTAGCATTGTGTCAATGTCACAGCCTACCTAAGTGTTGTTGCTAACCATGTCCATCCTTTTATGACCACAGTGTATCACCCCATCTTCTGATGGCTACCTCCAGCAGGATAACGCACCATGCCATAAAGCGTGAATCATCTCAGACTGGTTTCTTGAACATGACAATGAGTTCACTGTACTGAAATGGCCTCCACAATCACCAGATCTCAATCCAATAGAGCACCTTTGGGATGTGGTGGAGCGGGAGATTTACATCTGCAGCAACTGTGTGATGCTATCATGTCAGTATGGACCAAAATATCAGGAATATTTCCAGTACCTTGTTGAATCTACGCCACAAAGGATTACGGCAGTTCTGAAGGCAAACGAGGGTCCAACTCGGCACTAGTAAGGTGTACCTAATAAAGTGGCCAATAAGTGTATACTCTCCTGAAACATAATTCGGTCCAACATCAAGCTGTAATATTTGTAAACTACAGTGAGTTCAATCTCCGCTGTATATATAATGTATGACCCTGGAGCACATTACACACAAAGGGTCATTTTGTAAGCACAATATAATTCTCTTGCATTGCACAGTTACATTTTTAAGGATATTTTCTACTGTAAATGTCAAAATGTATTTTTTGATGTGTTATGTGCATTCCAACCTCATTTGGACAAATTTTGTTTGCTTTTTGATCAGATTCCAGATTGTCATACAGTTGTATCTTGGCTAAATATTGCCCTATCCTACTAAACCATACATCAATTTTTTTCAATTGATGTATAAGTCTCTGTTTTCAAAAAAAGACCCTAATCACTGGTTTTGTGGGATTACTGTCCTAATACTGATTGTCTTTGCATGACGGACCATGTACATTGACATTCATTCATTCATTTTCTGCCACTTTTCCAGGGTCAGGTGGCGGGGGCAGCAGTCTTAGGAGAGAAGCCCAGACTTCCCTCTCCCCAGTCACTTCCTTCAGCTCCTCCGGGGGGATCCCGAGGCGTTCCAAGGCCAGCAGAGAGAAATAGTCCTTCCATCGTGTCCTGGGTCTACCCTGAGGCCTCCTCCCGGCAAGACCTGCCTGTAACACTTCCCTAGGTAGGTGTCCAGGAGGCACCCGAAACAGATGCCCAACGAATTGACCTTTATATATGTCTGTAATCATACCTGAAAGTAGTTTGCAACATACTGTGGCGTATCGTTTGAATATGACAGTATCAAATCACACACAACATTAATATCACACAGAGCTGTGTACAAACATCAGATGGCACTGATGTTGAGTGCTGCTGGTCAGTTCAGGTGTTTGTCCAGTAGAGGCCAGTCTGTCGTGCTCATCAGAAACGAGTTGATAGTTTTGTCTTGCATGTGTGACTTGGCAGATACGGCAAGAAACTGAAATATTAATATTAGAGCATATTATTAGACAATACACATTTACTCAAAGCAAAAAAAGATGTTATTAACAAGTTTGAAAATGGGATGAAAACGTTTATTGCAAGTGTAATTGTAATTATTATTAATTACAGTTACTTTTTAAATTGGTGTAAATCAAATTACAGCAACATCTAAAAAGTCTTTTAGATTAGAAAACTTTAAAAGGAGAGGGAAAGGGATTAATATTATTTTTTGATTACACATGCTTAGAATCTATGAGCTCTATCATACACCCGGCGCAAGATGTGTTTGTTGCTATTTTCAAACCAATGCAACCCTAGTTTTTTCATTTTGCGCCACATTGTTTTAATATTAAGCTAAGTTGCGCCGCTTTGTGGACTCATAGGTGTTTCGGTCTAGAAAGGAGGTGTGTTAAGGCGAATTAATATTAATATTAAGCAATACTGTTAACAACAATAATAATAATGCTAAAATAAAATCAACAAATAATATTGCATAAGAAAAATACTAGTGGACTTTCTGCTAAAATAAATCTCAATTAAAGATTGATCAATTGATTGCAAATTTCAAAAGACAAAAAGCGAGAGCTCAAAGTCACTGTTTTACAGTATAAAAACATCCCGTATGTTTCAGAACTCCAAATGTGGTTTGATGACTCAAAGGACCAGGAAACAGGCTATTCATTATAAATTATGATGTTTTTAAAATGACAGCCTCAAAGAGCAATACAAAATGAAAAGGCAATTAATGACAAAATAAAAGTTTATGCCTTACTTTAGTGTTACCAGTGTACAGTGTGGATCCTTCAGTAGATCATTGAGCAGCTTCAATCCTGAGTCTCCTAGTTTATTAGAGCTCAGATTCAGTTCTTTTAGATGCAAGGGGTTCGACCTCAGAGCTGAAGCCAGAGCGGCACAACCTTCCTCTTCGATACCGCAATCAGACAGCCTGCAGAGAAAAACACCTTACAATTACAAATCCACAAATGCAAGATTGAGCTTAAAACGACTAATGTTATTTAAAAAGACGTTAAAAGTTTGGGCCCTATCATACACACGGCGCAATAAGGCGCAAGACATGTATGGCACCATTTGTTGCTATTTTTAGACCAGTGCAACAGTAACTTTCTCATTTTGCGTCACGTTGTTTAAATAGGAAACCCATTTGTTCCACTTTGTGGACTCATGGGTGTGCTGATTGAGAAAGGAGGTGTGTTAAGGCGCATCGTTGGTTGAGGAACTGAAATATACTACGCCATTGACCAACTGAAAGCTGGTCTAAAGTCCAGAGCAGAGCACGGTAGTTATGTGCCTATGGGGGTTCAAACACTTACACATTGTTAATATAAACAGAATGTACAGCTGCAGATGCTCTGTTTAACTGTTTTCTCGCTAGTGAAGCGCTCAGTTTTCCATCCTTATAATAGCAAAAGTAGATTCAGACACAGGTGGCATTATTGAAGCAAACACTGCAATCAAACTATCACCGTCATGTAGGACTTTTAGCCATATTTCACGACCAGATCCTGACACCCGGCTGTCGGTAAAGGACCGCACACACACACAAACACACACACACACACACACATAGCGAAATGCAGAAGATTTTTTCTTTCCATTTGGCATGCGTTAATAAATTCCAAAACACTCTCACCAGTCCTTACTCCTTATTTGTGTCTAATACCCCAGTTTGTCATGAGTGCATGAATGAAATGTTCATGAGCCTATGTGAAACTGCCGAACTGCGGTTAAAGTCACCCAAAATTACAGGAAACTCTTACATAAAAGCACTTTATGAAAACACCTTAACGTTAATGCCGATAACGGCTCACCACTAATTTATATATATCCAGGAGAAGGTATAGTTGAAGCCAGAATTATTAGCCCCCCTGAATTATTAGCTCCCCTGTTTATTTTTTCCCCAATTTCTGTGACCGAGAGCAGATTTTTTTCGACACATTTCTAATCATAATAGTTTTAATAACTCATTTATAATAACTGATTTATGTTATCTTTGCCATGATGACAGTAAATAATATATGACTAGATATTTTCAAGACACTTCTATACAGCTTTAAGTAACATTTAAAAGTTTAACTAGGTTGATTAGGTTAACTAGGCAGGTTAGGGTAATGAGGCAAGTTATTGTATGATGATGGTTTGTTCTGTAGACAGTCGGAAAAAAAAGTTAGCTTAAAGGGGCTAATAATTTTGTCCTTAAAATGTTTTTTAAAAAAATAAAAATCTGCTTTTAGTCTAGCCGAAATAAAACAAATAAGACTTTCTCCAGAAGAAAAAATATTGTCAGACATACTGTGCACATTTCCTTGCTCGGTTAAACATCGTTTTGGAAATATTTTAAAAAAATAAAAATAAAAAAAAAATCAAAGGGGGGCTAATAATTCCGGCTTCAACTGTATATGTTTTACAGATCAGGGCCAACTAGAAAAACAATGGTGTGCTTGGTTTTAACTTAAGTTTCTGACCACATAAAATGTGTTCAATGTGCTGCCCATTGTGCTGGATTGCCAATGCAACCCTCTTCTCCCACTCTTCAAACACTGAGAGCAACACCGCAGGAGAAATGCCAGCACAGGCTTCCAGTATCCGAAGTTTCAGATGCTGCACATCTTGTATCTGTAAGTGGTCAGAAACTTGTAAATAACTAATGAAAGAACAAACTTACGTTAAAATCAAGCACACCGTTGTTTTTTGTAAATTTCCCAATAAGTTTGATGTGTCAAATGACCCTCTTCCTATTGAAAAAACAGAAGTTGGATCCAAGATGGCAGACTTCAAAATGACCACCATGGTCACCACCCATCTTGAAAAGTTTGCCCCCTCACATATACTATTCATTCATTCATTTTCTTGTCGGCTTAGTCTCTTTATTAATCCGAGGTCGCCACAGCGGAATGAACCACCAACTTATCCAGCAAGTTTTTACACAGCGGATGCCCTTCCAGCCGCAACCCATCTCTGGAAAACATTCACACACACATTCACACACTACGGACAGTTTATCCTACCCATTTCACCTGTACCGCATGTCTTTGGACTGTGGGGGAAACCGGAGCACCCGGAGGAAACCCACGCGAAGGCAGGGAGAACATGCAAACTCCACACAGAAACACCAACTGAGCCGAGGTTCGAACCAGCGACCCAGCGACCTTCTTGCTGTGAGACGTCACATATACTAATATGCCACAAACAGGATGTTAATATCACCAACCATTCCCATTTTATTAAGAAGTATCCATAGAAATGGCCCACCCTGTAGTTAACTTTTCATATCTAAAGTGTTATAAATGCTTTTTAAAATTGTTTATTCTGTACAGAGGTGATATTTTGTGCCATATTGTCTCTTAAGGTCTTAATAGAAGGAAAATACAGGACAAATTTATTTAAAAAAAAACACATAACCTACTGTAGTTTGTGCAGTTTACACTGTGGATCCTCCAGCAGAACAGAGATCAGCTTTACTCCTGAAGTTCCTGGTTTATTGGAGCTCAGGTTCAGTTCTCTAATGTGTGAGGGGTTTGATCTCAGAGCTGAAGCCAAGAAAGCAAATCCTTCCTCTCCAATATTGCATCTATACATCCTGCGGAAATAAAGGGAAATTGTAGATTTTAACGTTAAGGTAAAGAGGCCAAATGGTCAGCAAGAAGACACTTTGCGCCCAGTAATAATAAATTGAATAGCCTATTCCAAAGAATTTATGAACTTTTTGGGTCCTAAATTATATTTGTTAAGGTCTTAAAAAGGTCTTAGAAAGCATTAACTTTTACTTTTAAAATGGTGCAAGAACCCTGAGTATATGTGAGTATTTTATCAGGTTGGTTTAATGGTGATGTTTAAATATACTGTAAATGTAAGCTATGGCCAGATAACAAGGGAGACATTTACATTTACATTTAGTCATTTAGCAGACGCTTTTATCCAAAGCAACTTACAAATGAGGACAAGGAAGCAATTTACACAACCAAGAGCAACAATGAATAAGTGCTATAGGCAAGTTTCAGGTCTGTAAAGTCTAAGAAGGGAAGTATTAGTAGTGGAGACTAAATAGTTGAGTTTTTAGTCGTTTCTTGAAAGTAGCGAGTGACTCTGCTGTTCTGATGCAGTTAGGGAGTTCATTCCACCAACTGGGCAGATTGAGCGTGAGCGTTCGCGAAAGTGATTTCTTCCCTCTTTGGGATGGAACCACGAGGCGACGTTCATTCACAGAACGCAAGTTTCTGGAGGGCACATAGATCTGCAGAAGCGAGAGCAGATAAGAAGGAGCAAGGCCAGAAGTCACTTTGTAGGCAAACATCAGAGCTTTGAGACCAAAGATAGTAACATTTTCTTTACATTTTCTCTCTATATCTTTAAGATGTTTTTAGCCAGTGCATTCAAACTCAGATTAGTTGCAAGTGTCTGCTATTAAATTACAAAGTTTTTACTTTGCAGCACAAATAGAACAGAAGTAGTTTCAGTTTTACAGTTCACCCCATAGTCTGGGTTGATTGTAACACCCTGGGTTTAGATTGAGATGTAACATGAATTACACCAGAGTCAGGTTTAACATTAGCACAATCACCTCACAGCAAGAAGGTTGCTGGTTCAAGCCCTGGCTGGGTCAGTTGGCATTTCTGTGAGGAGTTTGCATGTTCTTCCGTGTTTGTGTGGGTTTCCGCCGGATGCTCCTTTTTCCCCACAAGTCTAAAGACGTGTGAATTGAATTGTATGTGTGTGAATGTGTGTGTATAGATGTTTCCCATTGATGGGTTGCAGCTGGAAGAGCATCTGCTGCGTAAAACATATGCTGAATTAATAAAGGGACTAAACCAAAAAGAAAATTAATGAATGAATGACTTTCCATACAATTTGTCCCATACAAAGCTTAATAACTGAATAATTTAAAAAAATTACAAAAACTAAGTCATTACAATTGATTATGCACGATTATATGCAACTAACCCTAGATATTAAGTAAATGTTATTAATCTTTAATACTCAGTAGTTAAATGACTACTAATGACACCTTAAAATAAAGTGTAAACCCAAACTTCCCTTCACATTGAACTCTTTCTCTTACAATACATCGTATTAAATTAGCTTGGGACTGGTTGTGTCATGTTTCCTTGATGTTAAAACTAATCCAGAGTCTTGTTATATGGACACAAAGTCCTGTAGCCAAGGAATTGTTCAGGTAGGCTAACAGCTGAAACAGCACCAACAACTTTCATTAAAAAAATATCTACACAACTTTGTTTAGTTTTACAAATCAGTATTTGCCACCTTAAAAGCACAAATATATACATATTCACTGTGGTTCCTCACAATCAGTTTGTTTGAGTCATTATGAAGGAATTAAGTTAGCTTATTAGTTTTTACAAATTTAAGTGGATTGAACATAAAACAGTTAAGTTGTCCCAAAAAAACTCAAGAATTTTGTTGTTTCATCTCATTTTAAATAGTTTGACCAAACAGCACACATCATTTTTTTAGAGTGTCTTACATTTTTACTTCAAATTCAGATTTGTTGTGCCTCTTTTCTTTTTCACATGTGGAATGAGGACTAATTTGCGTGTGTGTGTGTGTATAACGCTTACTGTAGTTTCTTGAGGTTAAACTGTGGATCCTTCAGCAGATCAGAGAGGAACTTAACTCCGGAGACTCCAGGATGGTTCCAGCTCAGGTCCAGTTCTCTCAAGTGTGAAGGGTTTGATCTCAGAGCTGAAGCCAGTGCTGCAAAGCCTTCCTCTCCAATACTGCAGTTATACAGCCTGAAGAGAGGAAGACAGCTCTAAATTTTAACACACAAATTCAACAGGTGACATGAAGTGATGACTTAAGTATGTTAAAAAAAACAGAGAGTCTTAGGACAATTAACGCAATGCATTGTCCACTATAAACAAGAAACAAGGATAAGGCGTAGAGGATGTTGGGGAATTCATTGTGTCTTGATGAATTTCTGATGAATGTATTACTCTCATTTATACGCTTGTTTGAATGATTTAGTATTGGTATTATTAATACCTATTGTATTATTACCCATACCTGCAGCATTATTATCAGGTATGTGTGCTTTGGTAAATGAAAAAGTCATTCTGTGTAAATGCAGTCAGAGATGAGAAGATAAATTAGAGCAGCATTAATGTCACAATGAGGGCTGATTTATGGAAGCAAGGCTAAAAGGACACTTGCGTTCTGTTCTGTAACTCATGATAAAGCACACCTGCACGTGCCCCCACACTCACTTGTACTGACATCTAAAGAATTATGAGTACCTATGAACTTCAGCTGAACTTACAGTTGACAGCTCAGTGGACAGTGAACAAGATATATTGTTGAGCATTGTTTTTTGGCTGAGTCATCGCTTTTGAAGCAGGAAGGAAAGACCTTAACTGGACATGGGTAAGACCCCTGAAAGACCCTGAGATTCTATTGGTGGCGGGCACCTGAGAAATTTAAGATCCCATTAGCGGAGAAGCTGATAGAGGTGTGTAATGTGTAAATTTGGGTGGAGTATTAAGACACAGAAATGTATTTAAACTGTGTGCCAAGCCTATGTTCAGCAGACATTCGAACAACCTGTCTCTGTTGTTACTGATGCTGTAACACTAGACTGCTTTGCCTAAGGTCTTCGGAGATCTCAGACTTTGTCATTTTTTGAAAAGTTTGACTTAGAGACTTAGAATATTTTTGCTGACCTGAATCTTTTTTCCACAACAAGGACAGAAACACCTTTCTTTTGTGTGACACATCGATGTGAAGCCTTGGGTTCTCTAGTAATGAGCTGATGAGTTAAAGTATGGTGCTTTTCCACTGCAGAGTACAACTTGGTTGTACAACTTGACGCACACCTTTTAAAAAAAATGTAACAAAATGTCGCAACGATGCGTAGCGCAAGCTCTGTATTGGTCGGCTTGGTAGTTGTGATGAGTGTGGGCGGTGCTGAGAGCCGTGAGCCCGATGGAGCAAGTGTTTACAAGTGTCGATCACTCGACGCAGAAGTATAAACCAGCCCTCATGCTGAGCCAAGTCATACCATGCAGTGAAACAAGACCATTACAGAGAAAATAAACCTAAATCCAATGTTGTTTTCCTCAGCCTGCAAGTCATTACTAGTCATTTATAATTGGTTTATCCCACTACTTATAATTACCTATTCTTTTGAAGATATACTTACTCTAATGTCTCGAGTTTACAGGTATAGTTTTTCAGTCCAGCAGAGAGCAGCTTCAGTCCTGAATCCTGCAGGTTATTATGACTCAAGTTCAGCACTCTCAAACCTCTGAGAGCATCAGCCAGGGCTGAACAGATCTTCCATGTGAGAAAACAGCCACTCAGGCTGTGAGAAAGCAAAAAAATAATTGCGTTAAATTGGATTGCATTGTTACATTTTACTGAAAAAAACAAATGCAAATTGTGGCTTAATGGTTATAATGTCAGACTTTGTAAATCAAAAGGAACAGCTTGAATCAAGCACACCTAAACAAGTTAATGAAAGTGTAATGGCTACTGGAAAGTATGAGTGTAATGGTACACAAAGTTCATGTTTTTATACGTATCTTGATTTCAGTTTAATTTTGCTACAGTTATAGAGAAATTAATCAAAACTTAAAATTGTGGTGTTTTTATATATGATTAATATTTATAAAACATCAACAGTTTAAAACTATAACAGATTTCACTTATAATGTTTCAAGCATACCTGTTAACCTTCCCGTTTTTCCCGGTATTCTCCCGTATTTTACTGTTCTATCCCGCTATCATCCCGTAAAGGTATTTTCCTGTATTTCTCCCGTATTTTCAGTCTTTCTCTGAACAGCCGAGCCTCCCTATACGCAACCCATACCGCTGAACCACCAGGGGTCGCCCCTTGCTCTAAAACGTGAGTCTTCTGTGCTTTCTTTCTTAATTTGGAAATGAAAACACTTATAAATAAATATTAAAAACGGCGCGATTCCATTTCCTTTTGATTACAGGTGCTGTCGCCCAACCTATACGATCCTCAAAACTAAAATACAATCCTTAAAAATAAAATGGTGCATGACTGCCAGCTGACATGCTCCATAGTGATAAACAGATGCTGTTTCCCAAACGGATTCTGTACACGCGATTTGTTGGGATCCCTTATTATGGTGGGCATATCCCTTATTTTTACATCCCAATGTTGACAGGTATGGTTTCAAGAGGCCACGCTTAGATATTGCTTGATAATAATAGCAGGTTTGGCATGCTGTCCTTGAAGAGAACCCTGAGCTCGTAAATAATTGAGCCAATTTTGTAAAAAAAAAAAAATGTCAGTTTTTTTTTTTACCTTTAATTGGAAAGTACAGTGTAGGTTACAGACAGGAAAGTATTGGGAGCAGAGAGAGGGGAAGGCTTGGCAAAGGACCTTAAGCAGGGAATCGAACTTGGGTCGCCATGAGAACCACGGTGCTATACTGTACTTCGGCGCACTTAACCATTAGGCTATTGGCACCAACGAGGCTATAAAAATTGCCAATTGCACTTTCTCCGTTCACAGAAATGCAAATAAATATATGTCAATCTATAGTCTTTGGTTTAATGCACTTAAAGAGCAAGGTGGAAACTTGCAATCAGGCCCAGCCCTAACCAATTTGGCGCCCTAGGCAAGAAGTCATAAGAAACTAAATAGCTTTTTGATTGACTACTACAAGCTGGGAAAACGTCAGATAAATATGCCAATGCAATTAACGTTATTGCTGCTGAATAGATCTAATATTTACACATTTGCTTGAGGAAGGAATGATCGGGTAGTTACATTACTATTACTATTTTCCACAACATCTATGTCCTTCTATAACATTAGCTGACGTTAAAACTAACAGATAGCGCTATAGCTATTTATTGATTAGCAATCTGTCAACATTGGGATGTAAAAAATATGGGACAACAAATAGCTTCAAATGATAGAAAACATAGCAAACATTAGAAAATATTGACAATAAAATAAAAGGTTTAACCTATTAAAAACAATGGCTTATACAGAAATTAAAGCTGTAAAATCTATTTAACTTTTAATTGTATTTGCATATTGATTAAAGTTACTATAGTTATTCAGTGAAGAGCAGCTAGTGAATCTCTCATGGTTTTTTGCTTAATAACAGAGGAGTTAATGTAAGAATGCACAGATCTAAATAAATGAACGAATGAAGCATTAGACTACTTTAGTAACTGTTTGTGCTCATTTAAGAGAAAATTAGTTGTGTTCAAAAAAAAAAAACAAGCAGGATAGAAAAAAAAAAAAAACGAGAAAAAAAGAAGCACTTTTCCAACGGTCCCTTACTGAGAGCCACGCTCTGCGCGAGCTCTCCCAGCTCCACGCATATTCCCGGCTAAACGGAGCAGTGGTCGTATTGTCAAGCGAAAAAAAAAGAAAAAGACAGCTGTGAAACATAACCAGCTTTGTCTTTTTGTAGGAAACAAACTTTAGATCTTTTTAGGCCAAGAGGTTTTTGAGTTATTGCCATCTATCACTGAATGTGTCAGGAATATCTAAAACAAAACCAACTTAACCGCGCTCATTTCTGGCGCCCCCTGAATGTACAGCGCCCTTACCATTTGCCTATACTGCCTATGCCACGGGCCGGCCCTGCTTGTAATCCACCAACTAATATGTTCATGTGGAACTTTAGATCTGAACTGTGTTTGCTCTGCACGTAAAACAAAAGTTTTGTATGTGCACCGTACTGAAATGGTTTAGTACGTATACGTGTACCTTTACATCCCTACTGGAAATAAAGTGAAATGCAGTTTTAATCAAGGCTGGATCAAAACTCAGAAGACAGAAAACCTCAAACCATGTAAATACTTACTTGGCCTTTCTGCAAACTTTGACCACTGGCATCAGCCTCAGAAGAGTTTCTTCAGATTGATGGTATTTACTTAGTTCAAACTCGTTCATCTCCTCTTCTGAGTTCAGTAACACAAACACCAAAGCCGACCACTCGGCAGGAGAGAGACTAACTTCAGCGAGACGATTGGCACGGGATCCTTTCAGGTACGTTTGGACTTCCTGCTCTAGAGAATGATCGTTCAGTTCATTCAGACAGTGAAACAGGTTGATGGATTTCTCTGGAAACTGGTCGTCTCTGATCTTCTCCTTGATGTACTCTGCTAGTTCCAGACAGCTCTGAGATGTGTTTACTGTCCGTGTCAGTATACCTCGCAGGAGATTCTGACTGGACTCCAGTGAGAGGCCCAGAAGAAAGCGCAGAAATAGATCCATGTGTCCGTTCTCACTCTGCAAAGCCCTGTCCACTTCCTTCTTTAGAAGATTTGTTATTTCAGACTCGTGTTTCATGTCTGAAACAAAGGAGAGGAACTTGAATAGAGCAGCAAGGAACTCCTGAATGCTCAGATGCACAAAGCTGTACACCTTCCCCAGACACAGTCCAGACTCCTCTCTGAAGATCTGGGTACAAACTCCAGAGTACACCAATACTTCTCTGACATCAATGCCGCATTTGTCTCAGGTCCTCCTCGTAGAAGATGAGGTTCCCGACTTTCAGCTGTTCAAAAGCCAGTTTGCCCAGTGAACATATACTCTTTCTGACTTGTTGAAGATCAACCTTACGATTATCGTCATACTTCTGGCTCTTCAGTTTGGTCTGAACAATCAAGAAGTGTGTGAACATTTGAGTGAGAGTTCTGGGGATCTCCGCACTCTCTGCTTCACTCAACAATCTCTCTAGAACAGTGGCCGAGATCCAGCAGAAGACTGGGATGTGGCACATGATGTGCAGGCTTCTCGAGGATTTGATGTATGGGATGATTCTGTTGGCTAGACTCTGATCTTGTATCTTCTTTCTGAAATATTGTTCTTTTTGCAGATCGCTGAATCCACGTACCTCTGTGAGCTGATCAACACACTCTGGAGGAATCTGACTGGCTGCTGCCGGTCGAGAGGTAATCCATATTAGCGCTGAAGGAAGCAGCGTCCCTTGGATGAGGTTGGTCAGCAGCACATCCGCTGAAGCGCAGTGTGTGACATCAGACAAGCTCTGATTGCTTTGGAAATTTAAAGGAAGTCGACATTCATCAAGTCCATCAAAGATAAACATAACTCTGTAATCATAAAGGAATGATGTGCTGAGTTCCTTTATATCTGAGAAAAATTGATGGAGAAGCCCCATTAGACTGATCTCTTCGTCCTTCATTAGATTCAACTCCCTGAAAGGAAGTGGGAATATAAGGTGAACGTCCTGGTTTGCCTTTCCCTCAGCCCAGTCCAGAATGAACTTCTGCACAGACACCGTTTTTCCGATGCCGGCGACTCCTCTTGTCAGAACACTTCTGATGGATTTGAACACTCCAGGTGAGGCTTTAAAGATGTCATTGCATCGAATTGGTATTTCCTGCATGTCTGGCCATCTGGACATCTCAATCTGCCTCACCTCATGCTCTTTATTGACCTCTCCGCTGTTTCCCTTTGTGATGAACAGCTCTGTGTAGATCTCGTTCAGAAGTGTTAGATTCCCCTGATAGGCTATTCCTTCGTGTAGTCTCTGGAATTTCTCTCCCAGTCTGGATTTGTGCTGTTGCAGGCACACTGGGCCAAGTTCTAATCAAAGCAAGAGAAATATTTATTAACACTTACAATCAAAGTCGAGAATCAAAGATATGACCTTGACATTTGTACCAGTCAGACTGGTCAGTTATTAGCTAACTATTATGGAGCCAGTCCAGTCTAAAATGTAATACATTTACAATTCACATTTCCCATTTACAAAATTTAACTCGGAAATTTTAAACACTATTTTATTCATTCATTTTCTTTTCGGCTTAGTCCCTTTAATAATCCGGGGTCGCCACAGCGGAGTAACCACCAACTTATTGAGCACGTTTTTATTGCTGCAGATGCCCTTCCAGCCGCAACCCGCAAAACTGCATCGCCTACACATTACTTGTAAACATGAAAATCCAATTCATAAATTCAAAACGGAATTCATAAAAGCGCTTATCCAATTCGTTGGCGGTTCATTCGCCACAGCGGAATGAACCACCAACTTATCCAGCAAATGTTTTACGCAGCAGATGCCCTTCCAGCTGCAACCCATCTCTGGGGAAACATCCATACACACCCATTCACAGTCATACCCTACGGATAATCCAGCCTACCCCATTCACCTGTACTCCATGTCTTTGGACTGTGGGGGAAACTGGAGCACTCAACCCACACGAATGCAGGAAAAACATGCAAACTCCACACAGAAATGCCAACTGACTCAGCCGAGGCTCGAACCAGCGACCTTCTTGCTGTGAGGTGCCCACATTATATACTATTATATATTACAAGTTGCCATCAGTTATGAGAGAGAGAGACTCTTACTTGTCTGTCGTGTGTTGGAGAGATCTGCCTGGTTCATCTTTCTCTGAGCAAATGCAAATATGCTCTGACGTTCATCTTCTTTGTTCTTGTTGCGTTTTCTGGTAAAAAAAAATATTTATATTTTCAAGTACATATCCATACCATTGATGAATGAACTCTGTAGTGTAAACCAACCTGTCACTTTATCAGGACACTTTTACTAGAAATTCTAAATTGTTTTTAGTAGGGGCTTCAGGGTTTCAAATAATTTTCAGCTCAGCACTGTTAACTGTCCAAAAATACACAATTTCTAACTCTGCCGCAGTTATTTGGCATTTAAAGCAATAGGCTATATGCTTATTTAAATGTACACTTTGCCTTTTATAGTTGACAGTGAGCCTATGAATTTTAGACCCATTAATTAAGTGTGGCATGCATTCAATAAAAGTCATATGGCTGATTGAGCTTTCTTCTAGCTTTACTACTGGCAGAGTTTTAATATAAAGAAAGAGATATTGAAAAATATTGAAATTAAAAACAGTAATCAATTCTAAGAATCGAGTCCACCAATTTTGAAATTAGGAATCAAATCGATTAGAAGCAAAAAATTATCCTATTATGTTTTATTTTAAAATGGCTTGTCATTTGTAAACTATTTTTATGCAACTAACTTGTGTAAAATAACGTTTTATAAATTTCTCAATAGAAATAAAAATGTTTATTAAAAATGTTTATATATATATATATATATATATATATATATATATATATATATATATATATATATATATATATATATAGTTGAAATCAGAATTATTAACCGCCCTTTACATTTTTTTTTTTTAATATATTTCCTAAATTATGTTTAACAGAGCAAGTAAATTTTCACAGTATGTCTGATAATATTTTTTTTTTCTGGAGAAAGTCTTATTTGTTATATTTCGGCTACAATAAAGCAGTTTTACATTTTTTAAAAATCATTTTAAGGTCAAAATTATTAGCCCCCTTACGCTATATATATTTTTGATAGTCTACATAACAATTATACAATACAGAATCATTATACAATAACTTGCCTAATTACCCTAACCTGCCTAGTTAACCCAATTAACCCAGTTAAGCCTTTAAATGTCACTTTGAGCTGTATAGAAGTGTCTTGAAAAATATCTAGTCAAATATTATTTAATGTCAACATGGCAAAGATAAAGTAAATCAGTTATTAGAGATGAATTATTAAAACTATTATGATTAGAAATGTTTTGAAGCAATCTGCTCTTCTTAAACAGAAATTGGGGAAAAATAAACAGGCGGGCGAATAATTCTGACTTCAATATATTGAAGTATATATATATACTTATACATATACACACACACACACACACACACATATATATATATATATATATATATATATATATATATATATATATATATATATATATATATATATATATATATATATATATATATATATATTATTGTTACTATTAAAACTGTTATTTTAAAAGAACCACATTAGGAGCCAAATAAACCATGATGCTTTCCTCACCTCGGGTCAGTAGAGTCTCCAGAACTGAAGTCGATGATATCATCAATTGACTGGTGACTCTTTATGGACACACAGCTGGGTGCAGGAGATTCTCTATCATTTAGACTAAAACACAGCAGCAGATAAACACTTACTAATGCACAAACTGTTGACACAGATAGTTTTAAGTCATTCTATGTTAAATGATATTTTAAAATGCATAGCTTTATTAGATCGTACAATGAATGCGAGTTAACAAAAAATGAACATGATAAAACAGCTAAAAATGTTTGGTCTGTTGTGGAAAATTATACCCAAATTGGTATCATCAATCCAGGCTCATTCCTAAAACATATGCAATATACATTTCTGAAGAGCGTCAAATACGTCTCAGGAGCTACATTTTTTGCAGTTTTTGTTTTCGTGAATCCACCGCAGGCCGCTGTGTACGCTTTTTCAGATCTTACATTTCTCATGAGTGCCATTCGCACCTGCTATTCTCACGTAAATCCACCAGAGAGCGCTGTCGACTGACTGATTGATCAACTGACCCACCCTCCTCCTTTCCTAAACCCAACCAACAGTTTTTAAAAACAAGAAAAAGAAAAGTCCTCGTCTGATTTTGACCATGTTTTCAGATTTTACCACATTCTTACCTTGTTATTTACTTTCTTGTTATATTTTGAGGCTTCTTAGCCGCTTTCTGGAACCATTCATCACCGGACTCGAACCCTGTGATCGCGATCAACTCCTCTCTGTGTCTAAAGTCCACCGACGTATACACTGCAAGCCACCGGACTAACTGGTAACAGCAGTAAAGCCTTCTACACAGAGGTAAGCGGTCAGCCGGTAAGCACAAAAAGGAACAGCATCATACCGCCCCCCTAGCATTTGCTTTAAAGACGAAATGCAGCCATATATACTTCAGGCTACGTAATTCATGATCTCCAGAAATGTATATATAGAGCTTAGTTTTGAGAATGAGTCTATGTTGGGTATCATAGTGATGTCCATTCATGGATATGTAGATGAAGAACTGAAAAGGCCATTTAATTATTAGAAAATAATGCACTTCTGATTTCTTTCAGTTTACACAAAGACAATCCCTTCACTGAATCATAATGGAAGTAGTTTCCCAGCTTTTTTTAGATCAAGCAAATTTTGAAGCCACATAAAACCATGATGCTTTCCTCACCTCAGGTCAGAGCTGAAGTTGATGACATCATCTATTGACTGATGACTCTTCATGGACACACAGCTGGGTGCAGGTGATTCTCTAGTATTTAGAGTGAAACACAGCAGCAGATAAGCAAGTATTAATGCACAAACTGTTGAGACAGAAAAAATAGTAAAGCAAAAATGACAGCGGGCCATTGAATTATTATTTTTCAATTTACACAAATACAGTTCTTGCAATTTTTGCACAATTTAAGGAAACAATGTTAGACATTAATGAAAACTGCAAAAAATGAAGTCGGAGTTCTGTTATGAATG